TTTTGAAGTTATATTAAATTAAATATTTTTATAATTAATAAAACAAGATAAATGAAAATTAGTTAATGGTTTTTCCATTAAAAATACAAATTAAACATGTATTTATCGCTCGCAGCCTGGAAAGTAGGCAAATGGGTGCAATTTGATCTAATCATTATAACTCTTAATATTTATATTCAAACGCTGAAATAAATATTTCTGCCAACATTTTTCTTAATTAGAATAAGATTAGGGAAGAGCCCATTAATTTGCTTTTCAGCTCGTGGGTAGCCCCCCCACAAATTTCAAATTAATAATTAAACCCAATTATTTGAATATTTAACAACTTGTAATCATTGTTTACTTCCTCCATGTTTAAATTATTTGGTTTGAAATGATTTGAGAATTTCGTTAAAGTTTATTTAAGTTTAGTTCCATATTTTTGTTCTTGATTAATAATAGCTGGCTTTGCCCTCAAAAGACCGAGTGAGATGCAAAAATGGTGTCAAAATAGTTGACGGGTGTGCCTAAAAACTCTTCATCTAACAACTACGATATGCGGCTCATATACAATTCAACATGTAACAAAATAAACAAGAAACCAGTCTTAAACGGTCTGTTTTATTTTAGGAAACTGCTTGATTAACAAATTAGTGGAAACATAATCATCCATGTTAAGCGTTGCTTATGATAATTAGCTACACTACCCACTTAATTAACAATTAATATTCCGATGGAGACAAGTATAAAGGCCATTGTAATGGAATGTATCAGCTTTAGTTTACATAATATGAGTTTGCTACCCAGTTTAATCAACCATTAACACTCTGGCTGTCCCTCGTATGCATGTGAAAATAATCATAATCATGGTATAATGTCTTGTGAGACTTTTGTATATTTTGAATCATCTCGAAACTTTCTTTTTCAATTCATGCTTTAATTTCCTATACCGGAAGCCATTGTTAATTCAAGTTTCATCCTTTTTTCTGCTACTATATTGCAGGGTTTGGTGATTGAACATGGGGAATGAGATGGGTAACAACAAATCCACTTTGCAAGGTATTAAAATTTATGTTCTTAGAAATGTTTCCCATGTTTATCTATTTACATTTCTGATACGCTAATGCAGAAGAAGATAATCCGACAATTGAACCCAAGGACAAATCTTCGCAAGAGGGTGTTCGCGAAGAAGATGTAAACCCACAAAATCCTCAAGTTAAAGGTGTTCCCAAGGAGGCAGGGTTGATTTATTGTCATGATCAAGTTGATGACCATAACCAGAATACATCAGACGGCAGAGGTTAGACCATTTCTGTCACTATGGTCTAACAATCATTTAGATTCAAGCTTAGATGTTTTTACAAGTAGTGAGTTGTGACAATTTGCAGATGAAGATCCCAAGCAAAAGTCCAGGGAAGATCAAGCTGTTCGTGCAAATGATGTAACAGTGCAAAATGATATTATTCAAGAAAACCCAAGTGAAGATGTTGATGAGAAGAAGACAGAGATGGATTCTGGATATTTGAATGGAGTGATTGATCATCAAGTTGAAAAACATATCATTTCAAATGAAAAGGGTTAGTAAATTTTCCATGTTGTTCTTATATTACGCTCTTTGCATTTATGAGTTGGAGCAATATATTTGAGTTTACAGAGAAAGAAGAAATTCCGAATGGGGAGGTCATCCAAGTAAAGATTACCGGAAGAGAAAACAGTATTGACATCCTCTCAACTTCTTCACCGGATGATCCAGGAGATTATCAGAAGATACAAGATTCGACTTTAGAGGAGAATCAATCGGACACAAATGATCATCAGTTTGACAAACAAATTCCTGTAAAGAAAGGTTTAGTTTGCAATTCTTTTCAGTCTTCTTATTTCTGCTTTGCACAAGTGATATACTTTCTCATTAACAAAACCAAACTCATTGTATATAGTTAGTCATTTTCATTGAGTTTTTCGTAAACTCGAACAGATGATGATGAAGCAAGAAAGTCCTATTCAGGTCACCAAGAACTGCAAGAACTTGGAGAATTGGAACTTGATCAAACAGAATTGGGTAACATTTGTACTAATCAATCAGCGAAAAATGGTATGCAATCTGGTTTAACATCCACCAGTGAACAAAATATTGGGCACATTAATTTAGGTGAAATCAGAACCACATCAGATTTGGTTAGAGGTTGTATTGGAAACATAAAGTTGCAGACTGATTCGAATGATACCATAAATGATTTACCAGAATCACAACAAGAAGCCAGTCTAATTGGTGTTTCAGACATGGAAGTTTCAGAAGCTGTTCAGGAGGAGTGCTTGATTGTTTTTGAGAAAACAATATCGACAGAAAAAGAATCCGAAACTCGAGACAGCATGAAAAATGATGAAATAGGCGAAGACTTAATCAAAGAATTAAAAGTGGAAACAATGTCTATTTCTGATAATGAGGATAACAACAACTTCAAACTAGATGAAGCAGAAGTCCCCGAGGAAAATCTCGCAGTTGATGTAGCTGTTAACAAGCAGATTTCAGTAGATGAAGATGCAAAGGATTCTGAGGATATGGCTAATAAGAACAAAGACAACTCCCAAGAGGAAGGCAAGACAATGGCAATGCTATCCCATGAGAAATCCCATCAAATTCTTCTACCTCATCAACAAGAATGTTCAGGTGATCCAAACAACAACTTTGCTGCTAAAGCTGAAAAAGTAAAAGATCGTGAAAATGAACCCGAAATTCTCTTGAATGAGACTAAAGTTGAAAGTACTTGTGGTTATGAAGCACAACGAAGCATCAAATCAGAAGCTAGTAACTTGAAAGTTCATCCTCAAATGCAAAAATCTCCAAGCTTTTGTTTTGATCTAAGAATGGAAGAAAGGAGTGAGGAATCAGATCAAACTCCATTGCTATTTAAGAATAAAGCTGCAATTGATATTGATCAACATACTAATAAATATCAAGACATAGTTCCAGCGGAAGAGAAGGTTGTCACATCAGAAACAAGTACTGATTCTGACAAATCAAGAACTCCATTTCTGGGATTCTTGAAAGAAGAAGAAGAAGCTCAAATTTTGGTTAACGCCATCAATCCTGAGAATAATCCATCTGCTGCTGCACAGAAGCCAATCGAGGAAGCTTCACCAGCTTTACCAAAACTGAAAGAGAAGCGCAGAGTTAGCAGGTCTACTCTATTTGGAACTTGCATGTGCTGTGCGAGTGTTATAAATTAAAAATCAACCAATTTTCTGGTTTCCATTTTTACTGAAGAAGTTTGTTTTTTATTTGAGTTTTCTTCAAATCTAAAGTTTCTCCGAAGTTTAACACTCCTAATTGGTTATTGCATTTGTGATAATCCAATCGAACAAAAGTGATTGTTACTTTATATTTATGACCACCCATTTTTTTTTTTATATCTGATTCTTCAATATACCTATTCTTTTCTGTATTTTGTGTTCGTTTACTTTTTTAAATTTTTGGAGAAGATTTTGTAAGGTTTTGAGAGGAAATGTAACTTGATCAGCTTTGATATTTCATTTGACTGTATATTCATTTTTATTTTTTTCTGTTTATAAAAATATTATGATATATTGAGTTCATCAATCTCTTCTCTAAGGAAATTAAAGGAGTAGTATTTGCGAAAGTGTAAGAGCACAGTAATTATTAATATCACTACTATTAGAATTAATAATTATTATTATGATTTAAGAAAATTGTAATATGATCTATTGATAATTTTCTTGGATAATTATTCCAAACATAAAAAACAGTAGTAATTTTATGGAATTGAGAATTGAAGTGGTACAAAGTTGTAGCTTAAAAATATTGTCTTGTTCATCTTTTTTTCTGATACCGACATTTTACTTATATTTAAATGTTTTCAGTTTGACCCGCTGTCGTGTAAAACAGAGACACCTCAATATTTTCTTAAGTCTTTTCTGAAAAGAAAGAGAACTGTCAAGGAAGTTCCTGCATCAAATTTTTGGAAAGACTTCTAGCCGTTGATCTTTAAGTCAAACCAAAAGTCAAATATTACAACCTAGGTTCCACTAATTTCACATCAATATACTATTCCTGAATTGGAGGATAGGGAAGATATTAATTGATCAAACCAAGAAAACTTTTTAAGTCTCAAATATCAAATCAAAAGACCCTCAAGAAGATAAAAATGCATGCAGATCAATGGTCTAAATTGACGTACGTACACACATGATCATGTGTTTCCATGTAATTTAAAATCCCATTCTCAAAGAGGTAAAAGAGTTCAAGTATATTTATTATGGCAAAAATTATTAGTTTCAATTCTACATCTAATTTTATGTGTGGTCAATTTTTTTTTTTTTCGATCATTTTAGATAAACTTCCATTTGTCTTTTGTTTTTTTTTTTTTTAATTCTATCAGAAATTAGATTTATTCTAAAAAAATATATAAACGTATTCAAAAATATTGAATTTTATATGTACTTAAAATAAACAAATGATAAAGAGTATGCTTAAATTTATAATATTGCTAATTTAGAAGACTTTTAAAGAATTTCTTAAATAATTTTCTTAATTATTGGGATCTTGTTATTTCACTTGAAATCGTAATTGATAATAAGGGACGACACCGGTTAATATTAATAATTTAATTAAATTTATACAAATCTTTAGAAAAATATAATTTTATTATTAAATAATATCACTTAAGGTAACTAAAATTGAGAGAAAAAAATTTTTCCTTGCTAGCCATCCACGTCTTAGTTAACCCCAATTAACACTTTGATCTCTATTGCTCAAGATGACGTGAACCCCACGAACTTTTATTGCGCACTCGATTTGTGTGTGAACCTGAATAGTATTTAGATGTGAGTCGAGTTTGCGACACTTCTTCTATCCACAAAATGTCTTTCAGATCTTTTAGATTCAAGTTGCTATGAATGATTTAACCGTTAATAGGTTGATCTTGTTAATTTCAACAATTAAGTATATGACCCACTAATCTAATGTTTTATTTTTTTATCTACTTATAAGGGTTGAAACCAACTTAAAAGACACCTAAACTAATAGATAACCGTTATAAAAAAAAATATACATTTGATGGAGTGTATAATATTAAAATAAATTATACAATTATTGTATTTTATGAGTATTAAACTATAATAATAGAAACAGTTATCAACACATTCAATTACCTTGAATGTACTTTGACCTCTCATCTCATCTATAAAAGGAGTACAAATTCTCTTTTTTAAGTTGTCTTCCATCAATTAAAATTATAAAGTTTTTGTGCATAATAGTTAAATAGAAAGAAAAAGTGAGTCAAGAGAATTAAAATTTTTTACAAAGGGTATCTCAGTCACATTATACATGCATCATCTCATAATGATATGTAACTCCAACTTTATGCTTAATTTCTTTTCTTAAAATATGTTAAATTCAATAACAAATGATTTCTGCATAAAAATTTCTTACAGATCTTACACTATACTAGCACCAATGAATTGATTTTGCTATGAAGTCTTTACAAATCATGTACAAAGTAATAATTTTTAAAATATAATATTTTCTAAAGTAATTTCTATCTATTTTCTTATATGATGCCAGCAGAAAATGAAAGAACACTCTAATCAAATATTGTGGAGGACTTGTTCTTTAAAAATTCTATATTTTCGAAGAGAAAGGCGATAATAGAAGGGAATGCATGCATGCGCTGTACTGCATGTTCTAGTGAATTCATTTGTTTGTCTTCTCATTTTCAATAGGGTAATGCAAGTGTCAATGATAACTTGATGATAACTAGAAGGTTGTGTGATCTTTTTTAGATATGCTTCTTGAATAATCAATTTACAAGTAACGGGATTTTTCAATATATAAATTCATTGGTTATGTAATTAATTAAATAATACTTTTTATAGGCTCTAGATACTAATGTTGGTAATGATCAAAATTTCATCTGTTGTGAAGAAATGACATATAATTCTTTATAAGTTTAAGCTCTGAGTAGGAAATTGTAGAGTAGGAGAGGATCCCACATGCTGTTATGCAACTAAAATTTGAAAGAATACAATTTAATTATCATGCTAATAATACCAGATTAATTATCAATTCGTTGGAAATGATAAAGAAATTTAAATTCGATGATGAATCAGTACGCCAATGCCATCCATATATATATATATATATATATGTATGCGTGTGTGTGTGTGTGTGTATATATATATATGCGCTATCCAATAGTCATCATCATTTTGACGAATTCTTCATAATTAACTTGCCCATCACCATCTAAGTCAGCTTCTTTGATCATTTGCTCTACTTCTTCATCCGTCAATTTCTCCCCCAGATTTATCATCACATGCCTCAACTGCATATATACATACATAAATCGTATATAAAAAAATATCTTCATATGTATAATTCCAATACACCCTTAACCCAGAAAAAACTGCTTCATACAGTAATTAAAGACCATATATTATCCCAGTGTAATTAATTACTGACCCTACCTGTATTCACTATGTATATGTACATAAACTGCATAATAAGTTGAGGGAAATGAAAATGTAAAACAGAACATACCTCGTTAGCTGAGATATAGCCATTTTGATCTTTGTCAAAAACTTTGAAAGCCTCTTTAAGCTCTTCCTCTGCGTCAGTTTCCTGCAAACAGAACCCAAATTTCATCTTCTCCCACTTGTGTATTAAATTTTTATATATGCGGTAAAAGGGGTGGTTGGATACATAGTTACATACACTCTATAGATATATATATATGTACCTTGATTTTCTTGGCCATGAGGTTCAAGAACTCGGCGAACTCAATTGTTCCATTTCCATCTGCATCGACCTCGCTTATCATGTCCTGAAGTTCTTCTTCGGTTGGGTTTTGATCCAACGAGCGAATCACCGTAGCCAGTTCTTCAATAGTAATGCAACCTACACATACACCATGTATGTATGTATACACACACACACATATTCACGCACATGATATACGTGCATTCAAGAAGAAATTGAAAGATAGATAAGAAAACAAATTAATTAAGCAGAGAGAGTCACCATCTCCATCTTTGTCAAACAAACAAAAGGCTTCTTTGAACTCAACAATCTGATCTTCAGTCAGTACCTCTGCCATGGAGTAGTACTTTGCTCTGCAAATTATTTGATTCTGTTTGAATGTCTCTGAGAGAGAAAGAGAGAGAATTATTAATTGAGAGTGTATAGCTCAAGCTTAGCTGGGCATATATGTAGAATTCCAATGTGGTAATAAAATAAATTAAGTACAGTAGCCATGAAATTTCACATTTAATTTCTTTCACTTATATATTATTAAATCAACCCATATGAACAAACAAGTCAAATCAAGATTGTGACTCTCTCTCTCTCTCTCTATATATATATATATACATATATATATATATATATAAACAAGGATGATTGGCTTTATTAGAAGAAAAGAATCACTACTAGTCTCTTTATCTCATTGTGTTTTCAACATTTCTTTTACATGCACATTTATACATACATATATATATATATAATATATTGAAATGGTATATCACAAAATTAAAGAAAAATTCTGGATTGGTTAAAAAATAAATGGACAGCTGTAAGGGTTAGATGTTTAGGAGATTAGTGAGTATGGGGAGACGTGTACTTTGTTTCCACATTTTCAAACCTCCACCAAGCACGCTGCATGCTCGCACGTGCCACTTTTTGCTTTTCCCACGAACCACCGTGTGTGCTCTCTCCGCCTCTCTCATCACATTTGGAGGTATGTTTTCTTTTCCGCCATAATATTATTATATTTATTCTGTTTAATTAAATTTCTAAATTTTTATTTTGAATTATGAGGTGCTTTGTTTTTTCATTTTCCTTAATTGGATACCATTTATAATTTTTTTTTACATTATGATAACTTTTTTATATTATAATTAACTTGTTATTATTTTTTATTTTTTTAGCATACTAAATTAGTTTTTGTAAATATCATTATATGTCCAATGGCAATACATTTGCCGTCGTTGACTAAAAAAAAAAAAAAAAGGCACTCAACTAAGTATAGTCATAAATATTGCACACCCAATTTAAGTACAACGAAAAATATCAAATCTAATTGCTCAAAATGAAAGGTTTTGGAACCTAATTTGAACAAGATGAGACAGCTTGTGAATCTATTTGTTTAGAAGAAAGGTTTTGACATTTAACTCAATAAAATGATTAAAAAAAATATATTTTTAAAAGTATTTAGCACACAGGATGCATATATATATACATATATCTTTTTCTATAGGAAATTATCAAAGTACATAATTCTTAAATGAAATTTTCTTTTATACATCGAGATGCTTTTTACCCTTCTCATTTTTTTGAGAAAAATATATAATTAACTGAATTATTTATTTTTTACAATATTTAAAGTGGTATGAAACTAATATGTCAGCCTCATTATTTATAATAAATAATAACACAAACATTATTTGAAAAGAGATATCCAACATTTAAATTCATAATAAATTTAAGATAATAAAATAAGAGTTTTAGTTTAGTTAGTAACGTAAGCTATTACTAAATGAATTTTGTATTACGACAACTTAGCTTCACCTTATACTCAAAAGTTTAGTATTTAAATTCTATTTATCGTGTTACTTCTTTTATTTAAAGTTTAAAAAAAATGTGTGAAAGGTATGTGTTTCATCCATACTTTTGCCTAATGCTTGCATATGACAAGATTTTCTAATATATATGTGAATAATATATTTAGAATTTTTTTATAAAGTAAGTTTTTTAGAAAAGTTAGTTCAATAATGGATATATAATATTAGTGAATAGATAGTGGTCTAATCATGTGCGATGTTTTACTATTAAAATAACAATTTACTGTATACAATTGAAAAATGATTAAATTTCACTTTTATTTTTTTTATTTAAATTTTACATTTTAATTTTAAATTTACTCCAAATTTCACCATCTTTATTAATACACATAGAAATCGTTTATATTTGGCTATGTGGTGATGACTTGGCGCCATGTGGCCTGACACTTAAATTTGAGTTTGAAATAGTCCACGTGGATATCATATCAGCACTATATGACGTCCATGTAAGAGCTCATATTAAATGTCTCAAAATATCCTAAACATGATTTTTTATATTAAATTATAAATTTGACTGGAGAATTATAAATATGATTAAAAAAAATTGAGTTTAAATTGTTTTGACCTATTTAATATGATTGTGATGTGGGACGCTGCAAGG